GCCCTGCAGAGTTTTGCTTCAACCCTAATCAAACACACCTGAACAAGCTAATCAAGGCCTGAAGGGTTACTAGGAAGCTACAGGCAGGTGAGTTTTTATTAGGGTTGGAGCTGAACTCTGCAGGACTGCGGCTCTCCAGGACCAGAGTTTGCCACCCCTGGTCTATAGCAATATCATGGGACGGTGTAATGATACATTTGATGAACACAACAGCTTAATAATAATTATTAACGAATGTATACAGTGTTTAACAGGTCATTAAAGCACATCAGTGGCATCAGATTAAAACAATAATAATGCTAAAACTTGTCTCAGAACAAAGTATCCATTACTGAGCCATTTTGTCTTCATTTTAACAAGTATATCTACTGCTTTAGTATTAAAAACAAACTAATCAATTTTAAGACTATGGGCTCTATCATACACCCGGCGCAATACGGCGCCAGGTGCGACGCAAGTGTTTTTTGCTAGTTTCAGCCCGACGCAGTTATCATTTTCACGTCCTGCGCCACGCTGTTTAAATAGCAAATGCATTTGCGCCCATTTTTGCGCTCATGGGCGTGCTGGTGTGAAAACGAGGTGTGTTCAGGCGCATTGTTGACGTGTTGATATTTTGAAGCAACTGAAATAGACCGTGCCAATGACCAACTAAAACCTGGTCTAAAGTCAATTTTTTTTTGTTATTTAAGGAGCGCGTTAGTATAGGCGGGTGCACAACGCGCATACACTCTGCTTATTACACACACAAGGGCGCGTGCAGCAGCACACAAACATGCCAAATATAAAAAATTAAAGGATTGCAATGTAAAAGATTATTATTGTGTAGGCTACATAAATATAAAAATGCCTACATGTCATAATGGATAGTCATTGCATGTATCAGAATTAGGCTACCTATATGCTCGCGCACAAGCAGATCCGTTTCCTCTCTGGAGACGCGTTCTGTCTTTGTGCTTGCAAATTCTGCCGTGTAAAGGCTGATTTATACTCGACGCGTCCGCAAGTTTGCTTGGGTCTGCGCACGGCAAATATGATGTCATCGCGGTGTTGGCGGAAGTTCGCTTTGAGTGCGCGCGGACTCATTTCGCGTGGCGGTGTGCACGGCATTTTTTGTAACTTTTCGCGCAGCTCCGCATCCGAAGATGCACGAGTTCAGGGCGATTCTAACCGAACATGCATGTCTGTGCCGGCATTTGTGTGAAACTGAAGCAGTTTGATGTGAAGTTCAAACTCCATCAGGTGCTTTTTGACGCTTTGACGGAAAACAATGCATAGTTTTTTTTTGCATAGTTTGTCCAAGGCTTTTTATTTGAAGTACGTTTTATTTTTATTGAATAAAAATAGAATTAGAATTCATTTAGATACTATTTATACACTATTTTCTTAAAGTTGTCTTGTGTTTGATGTGAAATAAAGCCAATAGTTTAAGATTGTTTTAATCAGTTTGTACATAAAAAAATGATTAATTCATCAACTCATTCATCACACGAGAAGTCTTGTACCGGCAAACGACTTCTCACCGGTGATTCCCGATGGTTTTAGAGAACAATTACTCCTCGTCGCCCCCTATCGTTTCAAAGAATAGTACAACGGTGAACGCAACAAGTATAAAAGCGTCATCCGTCTGGGAAGGTGCGCGCGCAGTCAGCGGAGGCTCGCGGAGCGGAGCCAGGCGAAAGTATAAATCCCACTTAAATAGCAAATTCGCCATGGCGTGAGCGCAACTGGCTCTTAAAGGGAATAGGAGATGAGACTCTGATTGGTTTATTGCACATTATGCCCAAAACACACCCACTACTCATTAAGAGAATAGGGACAACCCTTTTAGACCATGCGCAGGGCGCGCCGACTGTTTTTCCCGTCGTTAAACTAGCAAAAGTGGATTCGGACACGCCCTAAGTGC